TATAAGAGTTCCTACTTCTGTGTGTACAGATCATTGATGTGAAGCCTCCATCCGTGCGCTATCTCCCTGAGGGCACCCGCATCGCTGCCTACTGGAGCCAGCAGTACCGCTGTCTTTACCCCGGCACTGTTGTCAACGGTGCGACAAGAGCACAAACAGCCACCACTTCAATGATAGGATTCATAAGCAAGTTACATTGTTGCCAGCAGCACAAACAAATGCAAACAATCTTAGCAGAGCTGCACTTTCATTGTAGGGATGTTACTGTCTTGGAGATTGTAAAGGAAACGTAACTGGTCTGGATTCTGTTCTTGACTTCAGATCGAAACATGCTACATCAGCCCTTTTAATCGAATCTAACCAGATACAATCGTTCCTGCTGACCTGCGCATTTTCGTTTCTTCCAAACAGGAAGTTCAGACATCGATGAGAATGACGATCTCATCACGGTGGAGTTTGACGATGGCGACACGGGCCGCATCCCTCTCTCACACATCAGACTGCTGCCGCCAGACTACAAGATCCACTGTGAGCATGAAATATGCACACAACACAGTGTGAAAGGTTTAGCACCAGAGACACTCAGATTAGTCTTGGAGAAGGAGAAGGGGGAGTCTGCACGCTCTCTCTGGCTCTCTTTGCACTTTTACATTTGAATTTTGTCTGTTTTTCTCCCATAAAATGCTCTTATACGCTACGCTGGCCTTTTTAAACTGCCGTGTGTGAAGCCAGATTCAGGCGTCAAAAGTAGTGAGAAAAACGGGGACCATGAAGCACATTGCTCCCTAAAAAACGGAACATATTTAATGATCACTGAGTCCTAATCCCCGTGTTTCTCTTTGGGAACTTGTAATAAGCAAGGTGCTTCCAACACTTCCTGAGGGGATGAAGACAGTAGAGTGTATGCTCATACATAACAGTATCCTAAACATCTTAGCCCAGTTTGCACATTGCAGACAACCAACATGAGCCCCCAGCCCCCTGAAATCTCCTGCATTCATTATTAAAAGTGTGAAAAACGCAAACTTTAAACCCTTGTCTTCTTTTGTAAAGGTGCCGAACCATCCCCGGCTCTGCTCGTGGCCAGCTGTTCCAGGAGGAGGGTCCGCAAATGCAGCAAAGAGGGTAAAGAGGCGGGAGCAAAGCCAGAGGAGACCACACCCAAGATCAAGGGAAAACCTGGTCGCAAACCAAAACCCAAACCAGGTGAGCCAAACAAAGTACTAATACCATCACATTGTCACGAACTCCTCAACTTTCTGCTTTAATCTGATAGAAAACTTTTATTCCCAAAGCTGAATGTCTCTGCGTACATTTTTACATGCTTGAGACTTTTTGTTTATCAGAGATAATAACAGAAACACTTCTGTGTGGTTTCTTTCTGCATTCATGAGAGAGACCACTTTCGATGAGTCACGTTTTTAAAACAACAGAACCAGCAAAAATAGCTTGAGGTTCAGAAGTGTCAGACATCTCCAGTTTGACCATGTGTGTCATCTCTGATGTCAGTTTAATGAATTTACTCAAACTGCTGCTGTGCTGTTCTGTGAAGCTCGCAGCCTGTAGCTTTAACTGTAATAGAAAGCACGCCGCTTGTCCGATTTGCTGACGCTGCCACGTTTTGACTGGGTAAGCAGTTCTTAGATGTAATATTTTCATTTTAGAAACGTTTGCTTGCTGATCTGTCTACCCTGCTCAGCATGACGAGCT